CAGATCTACTCTGAGTGCCTCAGTAGTTCTGGGGTGCGCAATAGTCTGGGGGCGACGCCTGTAGTCCGGGGGTGGGCCCTTGTAGTCTGGGCGTGGGTTCTTGTAGTCCGGGGGGGGTTCTTGTAGTCCGGGGGGGGGGGCCTTGTAGTCCGGCATTCTATGTACTTTTCATGGGTTCGGCGAAAAAACAGCTCTGGGGTGAATCAATTCTGTAGTCGATCCCCTACAGACAGGTAAGTAATGTTGGTACGATTTGTATGAATAACCTGGAGCATGGCTGTGTCTACGCATGAGCGGGGTCATGACGGCGATGATGACGGCGAGGATGAAGGCGACGACAACGACGGTGGCGACAGCGACGGACGATGCGGGGGGGCGGTGGCGATGAAGGCGACGACGACGATGGCGATGTCGACGACGGCGACGGCGACGGCGGTGGCGATGGCGACAACGACGACGCTGGCGAAGGCGAGGTCCAGTGATCAGAGCGTGCAACGGGCAAAACGTCGGAAGCCAGAGGAGCAGTGCAGTAACATTCTAGAAGGAGCGCCTCGGTCAGATTCTGCAAGGCGCCTTCCGCCCGCTGTCGCGCATCATGCACCGCGCCCCTGCCCAAGCCGTCCTCGGGTGCAGTGGTCCAAACATCACTTCCTGACCACTCGCAGCGCCCGGACCCGTTCAAGAAACATCGGATCCGCCTTGGATCCGCAGCGGATCCGCACCCAAATCCGACGCCCGAGGCGAGGTTGGCATTCCCCGTCGGGACCCTCGTCGATGTCGTCGGGGGCCTCTGCGCTCGCTTTCGGGCGCCCGATGTTGTGGCCGTCGCCCGCGGTCTGCCGCCGAGCCCCCCTTCCCCAAGGCTGGCTGCGCCCTGGACTGGCTCGGCCTCGGCGTCACCCCAACATACTTCTGCTATATGTGCGTCGCCCCCCCAGGGGCGACGCGCGCACCGAGAAATCTTATAGTGTATGCGTCGTGGTGGGCGCTTTCTGGCCGCACCGCTCGGGAAACGATATACTACACGATGGGTATACTACATGTTCGGGTCGGACGCGAGCCTCCAAGGATAACATTTAGTATTAGTATGTCTCTGTGCGTCCCATGGCCGACAGTCTACTAACTAAGTCGGACTGGAAACGCTGGGCCGGATTCTCCAATCGTATCGATTCACCTGACTGTCCGAAATCGACAGCCAGGTAATGCTGGGACGGCTCAAGTGACCTGGAGCATGGCTGTGTCGACGCATGGGCGGGGTCACGACGGCGACGACGACGGCGAGGGTGAAGGCGACGACAACGGCGGTGGCGGCAGCGACGGACGATGCGGGGGGGCGGTGGCGATGCAGGCGACGACGACGGCGGCGAGGTCCAGTGATCAGAACGCGCAACGGGCAAAACGGCGGAAGCCAGGTGAGCAGCGCAGTAGCACTCTAGACGGAGTGCCTCGGCCCAATTCCAGAAGGCGCCTCTCCTGCCTGTCGCGCCTGCCCCGTGCCCCTGCGTACAGTCGGGCCGCTGCAGAAGGAACCCTTCTCGCTGGGGAGGGGCTCAGTGTTCCTTAATTTCCTTAGAGCTTGTCTTAGGTTCTCCTTAGGTTAACTTATGGAAGAAAGGAGCCTCGTTCCCTGTTTGGGGTTCCTTATGACAGCGTTTCGACTGTAAACCGTCCTCGGACGCAGCCGTTTCCCTGAATTACGGACAGGATCCGCTCCAAACACATTTGTTTAACCGCTCGCAGCGCCTTGATCCGCTCCAAAACATCGGGTCCGCTTAGCATCCGTTGCGGATCCGCACCCAGATCCGACGCCCGAGGCGCGGTTGACACTCCCCATCCCCAGGCTGGCTGGGCCGACGGCCCCTGGATTCGCTGGACAGTCTGACGATCAAGTGCGCTTGGAGACGTCGGGCCGAATTCTCAGATCGGACCAACTTACCTGACTGTCTGCATTCGGAGAGTCTGCCGCCGCAGAGCGACGACGACGACGACGATAACGACGACGACGACAGTCTGGCGTTTTCAATCCAGGCGTTTGCCTCGATTTCGGCCCTCGTGGGACGTTCTTTTCGGGCTCTGGCGGCCACCAGAACTGGGCGGGGGGCGGAGATCAGGAGGGGGAAACGCACACACACACACAGGCACTCACAAAAGGCGACTCCAGGAAAGGATTGGAAAGTATGGGAAATGGGGGGAAGACGAAGATCCAGAAACAATCGGAGGAGGAGGAGGAGGAGGAGGAGGAGGAGGAGGAGGAGGCGATCGGTGCCGATGTATTTGTGCGCCCCTCGGCCCTTTTCAAAACAGCAGTTCTACCCCGAGGCCCGCGCGCGGCGGGCAGATGGCAGTGCGCAGCCAGCACTGCCTTTTTGCTGGGCTTCTCCTCCTCCTCCTCCTCCTCCTGCTCCTCCTGCTCCTCCTCCTCCTCCTGCTCCTCCTCCTCCTTCCTCCTCCTCCTCCTCCTGCTCCTCCTCCCCCTCCTCCTCCTGCTCTGGGCCCAGGCCTCCCAGGTGGGGTCCGAGTAGGAGGGAGGATCTGGGCCTGCCGGACGTCAGAGGAGGAGAAGATACCGATGCGGCTACCCTGGCCTCGTTTTTTTTTTTTTTTTTTTTGCCTCCCGGGAGGCCCTCGTCGCCGCCGTCGGATTCGCCTCGAAATTCTGAGCAGAACGCACCCCGGGAGAGGTCCGGGGAGTAGCGGTGTTGGCACTTCTTGGTTTCCCCAAGATGGGGTCAGAGTAGATGGGGTCGGAGGAGCGCGCCGCATCGCCGATGCATCGCCGATGTGGCGCGATGTGGAACCTTGTTTTCTCCACCCGACGTCTCCAATTTATCGCCGACGTCACCGTTGCCTCGCCGATGCGGCGCGATCTTCTGAACCCATCTACGGAAAGATCTGGCGATCGAAAAGCTGGCGATCGTTCCAGGTTGACCGATCCACGCGGTGTCAGAAACCAATGCCGAAGTCGTCACGACACGAACCTGCGGAACGGCCAAAACGCTGACCGCTTTGGGTTCGGCAGGGACTCGCTGTTCCTCAGGTCATTCCGTGATTGTTCCTCCAGCCCCCCTCGTGTACCCAGGCGTTTGTGGCGCCAACAAGGGGGTTCGCTCCTTGGCTGTTTTTCCGGTAGTACCTCGACGGTGCTGAGACACCGCTTGCGAGGCCTCTTCTACGGCAGTTGGCTGCCGAGGCGGGGAAACGCTGCCGCAGTCGCGGCCGTTCCTGGGCCCGCCGCTTGCCCCGGACTTTGCCTCTCGCCGCCAGACCGTTGTCGCGCGGCCGCGACCGAAAAAGTATCCCCACCAGCCGTGGCTCCTGGACGGCGTCAGCCATGCGGATAGATCATGGCCCTGGAGATGGCCTGCTGGATTGGACGAAGCTTGCGCTTATGGTCTACGTCAGTGGCCACTTCGCTACCCCCCAATTGCGACTCGGCCGACGTGTCGCTCTACTTCAACTCTCAGCTCCTTGGGCAGGAGCTTGTCCTCGACGTTGCCTGAGCCTGAGCTGCGGCGCGCCTGTCTTCTCCGCCGTGTCTCTTTTCGCCTCTTGTTCTCCCTCCTCCTGTGCGCCCCCGTTTTCGCTGGTCCTTGCTCTTTCGCCCTCTTGTTCCTCGTCGCCGCGCCCTCTGTGTGCTTTCGTTCGTTTCTCCTCCGCCGCGTAGTTCTCGCCACCGTTGTGGCCCTTTTCCGCCTGTCCTGTTAGGTTGGCCTGTCGTCTGACTACATTGACGGCGCGCAGCTGCCTGCGTCGCTCGCGATCAAAACTACCCCCACTGGCCATTCACGCTCGCGGTGTCGCTCGACCAGAAGTCCCCGCCATTTTGGCGATGCACTCCGCCTGGGTGCCCCCCCAGTTGACGGCGCCTGCTTCTGAGCGGCAGCGAGACCCGCCTCTTGTTTGTTCTTCACAGCGAGGGAGGCCGGCCTGGACGGTGTGTTGGGGCCATATCCGAGCCCGCGTGGCTTTTTGGTGGCCTCCTGGGGAGGTCTTGGAGCGGTCTTGGGGCCTCCTGGAGCATCTTGGGAGCCATCTTGAGCCATCTTGGAGGTCATATTGGGCTCTCTGAGGCCGCTCGGGGGTCTCTTGGGGGCCTCTTGGAGCCCTCTTGGGTTTTTTTGGGGCGCTGTTTGGGCCCTTTTGGTGGCCTCTTGAGAGCCCTGGAGGGCCTCTTGGGGCCATCGTGGAGGCGGTCGGTCAACAAAAAGGAGGGGTGCTCGATTTGCGTCACCCCCGGGGGCCACGATCCTCGTGAAGGGTGGCGGAAAATGACCCTCCCAATGGCCGAAAAAGGCTGACGCGATCCTCACCGAAAAACCTCAGGGAGGGGAGGGGGAGGGTTCCCCGCCCCGAAGGGAAGAGGCGTTGTGGAAGAGGAAAAAAACCCTTATCATAGACCACCTGTGCCCCAGAGGGCTGGTGGGATTCAGCGCGGAGATTTTTCGCCGGTTTCGGCTTCAGGGGGCCCTCGCCAGGCCCCAGAGGCTGTCAGAAGTTCAGTGCGGAGGTTTCTCGCCGGTTTCGGCCTCCGAGGGGTCTTCGCCGGGCTCCGACATGCCATCAAGAAGCGTCTCGGGATGGCGGCGCCGGCCTTGGGGACCCCAGGGGGATCCGTGTTGGAAAATCGTTGCGCGTTTTCGTTCATTCCGTCTTCCCGCGGCCGCTCCTCTCCTCTCCCTCCGTCCCCTTTTGCACCCGGGCAGCTCGCAATGCCGTCACCCGGCTTGCCCGAGCGCGCGTGCGGACTGCCTCTGCTTTGTTGCGACGCAAAAAAGCGGTGTTGAAAAACACGGGGCATCGGAGGCTTGAGGGCTGCGGAGGAGAAAATCGTCCTCGTCCTCGTCGTCATCGTCGTCGTCCTCGTCGCCGCCGCCACCGCCGTCGTCGTCGCCGTCGTCGACGCCGTCGCCGTCGCCGCCGCCGAGGCCGTGTTGGACGACGGCGACGCCGCGCGGGCGTTGCGGCCTGACGAGCTGCGGCTGCTCGGGGCGCCGACGCCCGCCGCGCGCCCGCTGGCGCCCGCGCCGCCGTGCGCGGCCGCGGCGTGCGGCGGCGTGGTGCTGGTGTGGCTGTCGGGGGCAACGAGGAGGAAGTGGAGGAGGAGGAGGAGGAGGAGGAAAACGAGGAGGAGGAGGAAAAGGAGGAGGAGGAGGAGGAGGAGGAAGCGGAGGAGGAGGCAGAGGCGGAGGAGGTGGACATGGACGGGTAATGGAGGACGGATGATGGAGGACGGATGACGGAGGAGGGAGGAGGCGAAGCGAGGCCATCTCAACGTCTGTCCACAGGACTGCTACTATCTATCGCTCAACCTCATAGGGCCAAGCGTACAACCCCTCTAGGGAGGAGGGACGAGGATCGACGGAGCAGGCTGTGCAACCGATCGGGCCTCAGCGATCTTCATTACGGGCTTACCCTTGCCGTCTTTGGCGCACAAGGCGGGGGGGGGGCGGGGCGGCCGCGCACCGGCGGAGGCCCTGCGCCATGGCCGCCCTTCTCCCGCGCGAGCATCGTCTCCCCTGTCGCGTCGTCGAACGGGCTCGCCACGTGGCGGAGGTACCCCCGCTCGACGGCCTCGTCGATCAGGAGGTCCCGCCTCGCGGCGGCAGCGCCGGAGCCCGAGCACTCACGCTCGGCCGAGCCGCGGCCCTGCTGGGGCGGCGGCGCCGCTGCGGCGTCGACGGGGTCCTCCAGGGATGCCCGCTCCAGCGCCACTGTCCTGGGAGACGCGGCTGCTGCTTCTGCTGCTGCTGCTGCTGTTGCTGCTGCTGCTGCTGTTGCTGCTGCTGCTGCTGCTGCTGCTGCTGCTGCCTGCGCGCCTGGGCCCCTGCCCTGCGCTCCAGCCGCTCTTGCGCCGTCGTCGCTGCTCTTCTTCTCCTCGTCGACGTTGTCGTGGAGAGCTGGCGCGTCGGGCGAGGGACGGGCACCACCCCCGCCCGCGCGCGCGGCCGCCGCCGCCTCTGGCAGGCGTCGCAGCCGGGGGCGCCTGCTGGGGCGGTGCAGTTTTCGCGCCGAGCTCCACGATGGCGGCCCAGAGCAGTCCTTCAGCGGCGCGCAGCATGCGCACTCCCGCGCGGGAGTGGCGCGCCGCGAGGCCGCTGGCAGCGCGCGCCGCCCGGCGAGCGTCGCAGGCCGCTCCGGCAGCAGCGCGGGCTCTGGAGAGACCGACCATCGCTGCCAATTCCTCAGCCTCCACCTGCAGCCGGGGCCGCAGGCGGGCGGGTCTGCGGGTGCGCGGCCTGCGCCGGGCGTGGGGCGCGCGCGGCGGGGTTGGCGGCCGCGCTTGTTCCAGTATGACGTCTGAGGGAGGAGGGAGGCCGGATGATGGAGCATGGAGCATGGATCTGGACCGCACGGAGCATGGAGCACGCAGGAGGACGGAGGAGGAGATTACGAGATTCCGAGCCATGAGAACGCCGCCCAGTTATCCGACAGTGCCTCGCGGACGGAGGAGGGAGGGAGGATGGAGGACGGAGGAGGGAGGACCAAGGAGGGAGGACGAAGGACGGAACATGAAGCATGGAACATGGAGGATGGAGGAGGAGGAGGAGGAAAAGCGTAGTAGATACATCCGTAAAATCCTGCCGAGGCCTCGCTCATCAGTAGAAGAGCAGGAAGGAGGATGGAGGATGGAGGATGATGATGGTGGATGAGGAGGAGGAGGACGAAACATAATAATATAAATAATAACCATAAGAACACATAGCATTGAATACTACTAGTAATAAGAATAAGAAGACGAATCTAATTACTAGTAGTAATAACTATTACAAATTCTAGTATGCAGAATACTAAGAATAACCAGATGAATAAGGATGTTAAGACGACGAAAACTAATATTACGAGTAATAATAATACTAAGAAGACGAATCATATTAATGATAATGCGAATACTAATGATACGAATCAGAAGTGCGACACGAAACATAATAAGACCACTATTAATACTAATAATACTACCAACATTACTACCAATAACATCACTACTAATACAACCAATAATGTTATTACTCGTACTAATAATGGCAATAGTAACAGTAGTACTAATAATACTGCTATTCGTAAGAATATTATTATCAAGAGTATTAAGAAAAATACTAATAGTAATACTAATAATATTCATACTACTTTTAAGAATAATAATAATAAGACTACGAATAATACGAGACAGACTACTACTACTACTACTACTACTTCTTCTACTACTACTACTACTACTACTACCACTACTACTACTACTAATAACATGACTAATCATACTAATACTGATAATAATACTACGAATAAGAATGATACTACTACTACTAGTAGTAGTAGTAATACTATTAATATTAATACTAATATTGATACTAATGCTAATACAACTATTAATACTACTAATACTAGTAGCACTAATTACAATACTACGAAAAAAGCATAATAAACATACGAATGCTAATAATACTATGAGGAGCAGGAGGAGGAGCAGGAGCACAATGGAGGAGGAGAAAGAGGAAGAGGATAGAGGGTGGACGGATGGAGGAGAGGATGGAGGATGGAGCGGGAGGGGGATGATGATGATGATGATGATGATGATGATGATGATGATGATGATGATGATGATGATGATGATGATGATGATGATGATGGTGGTGGTGGTGGTGGTGGTGGATGATGATGATGATGAGGAGGAGGAGGAGGAGGAGGAGGCGGAGGAGGAGGAGGAGGAGGAGGAAGAGGAGGAGGAGGAGGAGGAGGAGGAAGAGACATGTCAGGGACAACGTGAGGGGATGATGACAGTCGGCCCTGATGAATAGGTCGACCATGCCAAGCAGAGGGTACCCTTGTGTCCTGTCTACACGACCTGTGCAACCCGCATGTCCTCTGGTGTTCTGGGGCCACGCTGCCGTTGGAGGAGTCTTGTGTCCTTCGAGTGTCCTGCCCAGTCAGGTCCGCCTGTGGGGTCAGGAGCAACCTTTCCGGACGTTTTCGTCCGCTCCCTGGAAGTTTCAGGCCTCGGGGCGCTCACCCAGCAGCCGCGCGCCGCCGAGAGAGCGCTGCGGGTGTGCCCAGGATCGTCCGGGGGCGGCCGCGGGAGCGCCGAGCCATGGCCCGAAAACCACGGGGCAACGACGCGGCGGATGATATTGGGTCAGAGGGGGGATGCATCGACCCCAGTCGCCCATGGATGCTCCAGATTTCGTAAGACAAGGGAGGGGGTCTCAACCCTCCCAGACGAGAAGTTTCAGGCCCTCCCAGACCACCCACGAATGGGCGGCCCTTTGCCCAGACCCCCCCCGAACCCTCAAGACAGCTGAAATCAGACCCCCCCCTCCAGGGCTCGTTTCGACGCCGCCGATTCGATTCGATTCGGTTTCGAGGGGTTCCGATTCCGATTCGATTCGATGTCGGACTCCGATTTGGGATCCGACTTCTCACTGGAGGCCTACTTGCCTGCCGATTTCCGCCGATCCGACTTTTCCCGACTCGGCTGCCGATTTCCGCCGATCCGATTCCTTTCGAACGCCGATCCGACTTGTCGATTCGATTCTGGGGTCGCTTGCCCCTCGAATGTGACCCCCCCCACTTTGTTATGGAATCCGGATCGGGCGACGACATTTATACATATCCACTGCTCCCTGACCATGCCCATCTTGAACCCAGGAGCTGTGTATGCGCCCTCCTGGCCAAGCCAGGAGGGCGTGGCGTATACACCGCTGCGGGGTTGAGGATGGGCCTGGCCTGGGAGCAGTGGATATGTATAGATTTCGTTGCCCTACCGGAGTAGCCTATAGGGGCCCAAGTAGCCCACCCCGCCCCGCAGCCTGCGACCTCGCCGTCGGGGGCCTACCTCCGATCCCTCGGCGAGGCAGCGCCGACTCCAGGCCGATGCCTCCCCCCTCCTCCTCCCCCTCCTTCTCCTCCTCCTCCTCCTCCTCCTCCTCCTCCTCCTCCTCCGCCTCCTCTGTGCCCGTCCCCCCCCTGTGCCAGGCCCTCCCTGTCGCCGCCCCCCCCTGTGCCAGTCCCCCCCTGTGCCAGTCCCCCTGTGCCAGGCCCTCCCCCCTCCCCCCCCCCCTCCTCCTCCTCCCCTCCTCCTCCTCCTCCTCCTCCTCCTCCCTCCTCCTCCCTCCTCCTCCTCCTCCTCCTCCTCCTCCTCCTCCTCCTCCTCCTCCTCCTCCTCCTCCTCCTCCTCCTCCTCCTCCTCCTCCTCCTCCTCCTCCCCCCTGTGCCCAGGCCCTCCCTGCCGCCGCCCCCCCCAAGGCTGGAGCCCGCGGGGGCCTGGGCCTCGGGCGTGGTGCTCTCGGAGGACGGGCTCGTCCTCACGTGCGCGCACTTCCTGGCGGGCCCCTCGTGGACGGCCGGGTCGGCCCGAGACCGCGCGGCCCGCGGTCGTCGAAGATCCCTACGAGGTATTTTTTGGCCAGCTAGCCCCCCAGCGCGCCGGAGTTACTCTTCTAGCTTCGCCGCTAACGCTTTTAGGGAAGCTCTACGAGTCATTGCCCGCGGGGTTCGGCCTCCCTTCAGGAGGGGAGAAAACACACAGACACAGTTAATCGTCGATCCCCACGAAAATAGGGAGAATATGGGAGTTGGGCGGAGAGGCAAAAGCCGAGAAAACGTGGGAACAGATGGGGAATCCTTTTGCTTGCGTGTACTTGTTTGTGTGTCCTTGGGCCCCTTCATCCCTTCCCGCCCGCCGCCCAGGCCCTGGGCCCCTCTCGGGTTCCTCGGTGAATGGCAGCCTCGGCTCGGTGACCTTTGGTGCGGGCACAGATGGTTCCCCAGATGGTTGAACACGAAGCAGGAGCAGCGGCTTGCGCGCCCTGGTTTGGTCCCCCCGCGGCCCCGAAAAAGCCGCGCCCCAATCGTCGAAGAGCCCTACGAGGTATTTTTTGGCCAGCTAGCCCCCCAGCGCGCCGGAGTTACTCTTCTAGCTTCGCCGCTAACGCTTTTAGGGAAGCTCTACGAGTCATTGCCCGCGGGGTTCGGCCTCCCTTCAGGAGGGGAGAAAACACACAGACACAGTTAATCGTCGATCCCCATGAAAATAGGGAGAATATGGGAGTTGGGCGGAGAGGCAAAAGCCGAGAAAACGTGGGAACAGATGGGGAATCCTTTTGCTTGCGTGTACTTGTTTGTGTGTCCTTGGGCCCCTTCATCCCTTCCCGCCCGCCGCCCAGGCCCTGGGCCCCTCTCGGGTTCCTCGGTGAATGGCAGCCTCGGCTCGGTGACCTTTGGTGCGGGCACAGATGGTTCCCCAGATGGTTGAACACGAAGCAGGAGCAGCGGCTTGCGCGCCCTGGTTTGGTCCCCCCGCGGCCCCGAAAAAGCCGCGCCCCACTCGTCGAAGAGCCCTACGAGGTATTTTTTGGCCAGCTAGCCCCCCAGCGCGCCGGAGTTACTCTTCTAGCTTCGCCGCTAACGCTTTTAGGGAAGCTCTACGAGTCATTGCCCGCGGGGTTCGGCCTCCCTTCAGGAGGGGAGAAAACACACAGACACAGTTAATCGTCGATCCCCATGAAAATATGGAAACTATGGGAATTGGGCGGAAAGGCAAAAACCCAGAAAACATGGGAAAATATGGGGAATCCTTTCGATGTTCGCACCCGTTTCGGTTCGGAACGTTCGTTTTGGAGCGTTCGGCTTCGGTCTGGGTTTTCGTTCTGGGCGCCAGCGCTTTTTACACATCGCTGTGCTGGGTTCCCTGCACAGATCACGACGGGAGGTGTTTTCAGCGAGGTGTCGGCGTTTGGGGGCCCTCTCCAGGCGCAGGGAGCGCCACAACGCGACTCGGGAGGAAAGGCCAGCCATGGGCAAAGGGTCGGGACTCCTGGGGACCCCGCATAGAAAAGCTCGAGACGCCGCATGCCTGGGACTGTTTCTCCATAGTTTTGAAAGGGCTCCCCATCCCAGTACGGCAGGTTCGTGTCGTGTCGACCGGCGGCGGCCCAGAATCGGTCGATGTTGAACGATCCAAGCGGTATCAGGAACCAACGCCTGGGTCGACACGACACGAAGCTGCCGTAGCCTCAGGCCGTTTTGAGCTCGGGCCCCACCGTGCACGCGGAGCTTTGGCGCGCTCTTCCAGCGTGTCTCGGCGCAGCTCCGTGCTTGCATTCCTCGCCCCTCTCCTCGAGGCCGCACGGCCCTCGGGGTTCGGCCTCTCCCCCTCCTCGGGAGGAGAACGGACGGGGGGGTGGGCCGCTCGCTCAAGAACCCCTCCCAGAGACGGCGTTAGAATTCGCGTAATTCAACTCTCGGAGAGGCGTAGCACCGCTGCGGCCTCTCTCTGAAGCAGATTCCTGCAGATTCCTCCCCGTCCGTGGCCATTTTGGCTCAAGCCATTTTGGCTCAGGGCAGCTGGCCAGGACAGCTTCTTTTCCCTGGGAAGCAGCCCAGGTCAGGCTCTCGGGGAGGGCCTCCTCTCCGACTACGATATTTCTGTTGTGCGGGGGCTTTTCCGCCACCCAGCCACCACGACGCCATGGCGCGCTCGCAGTCGTGGGTGCAGTGTTCCAAGTGTGGCCCTCGTTCTTGGACTCCTGTGTCCAGCAATAAAGAAGTGGTGTCGCATATGCGGCGAGTGGTACGACGAGGACTGGCCGCGGGGGAGCACAGGCAGGCGGCGCTGGGCGTCGCCGCGGCGGCGGCAAGTCCGCAGGCGGGCGAGATCAGCAGTAGGACTGTGCAGCAGGCCTTCTCACCGCCAAGCAGCTGCACGCGCTCGGCAAGCAGGTGTCCGCCTCCCTTGGCGTCGGGCCCCCCGCCTCGGCGCCTGCGATGGCAGCAGGCGGGCCTGGCACCAGCCCTCCTTCGGGCAAGGGCAAGGGTGCCGCCGCCAAGGGCAGAGGCACATGGGATCAGCCCGTCGCAGAACCCGACCCTGCCGACGCTGTTCAGGAAAAGAAAATCGTTCAGTTTGAGATTTTGGTCGCGACATACCAGAAGATGGATGACACCGTCGTTCCTGGTTGCGAGGCCAAGTCGCAGCAAACCCAGTCTGATCTGGCTGACGCTCGTGCTGCCCACGCATCTTGTCTCCCGCCAGCACAGAGGCTCGCGCGTTGCCACACGCGAGTGCAACGGGCTGCGAAGAAGGTGGATACTATCAACATGCAGATCAAGGCCCTCGAGGACGAGCGCGACGCGCTTACAGCCAAACTCGACGCCAACACAGCAGCGTTGCAGGAGCAGACCGAAAGATTACAGCAGGCCGTGGCCGACATGCAGAAGGAAGAGACCCATGCCACGGCAATGTGGACCACTACTGCCCTGGTATCCGCCAGCAAGCAATCACGTCGTACGCCAGCTCAGCAAAGAAGCAACTGGACGACGCCAAGACGAAATAATTACAAGGATAACGCCGACTGCCAGGCCTTGCCCATGCAGCTGTCTGGCTTCGTGGATTCCATTCCCAAGATGCATCACGAACCTCGGCCGTCTCCCTACACGCTGCCCGTGGAGCACCTGGAGCACGTGGCACCAGGCTCTGGGGCCAGGACCTTCGGCCATTGGGCAGACACCAAAGGCGTGCAGCTCACTGAGCAGGCGCGACAACGCCCAGACGTCTTCGAAGCCCTACGCCATTTGTCCCGCATATGCTTTCAGCTGCCAGGCGTTGGCGCTGTGCGACCCATTCGCGAAGAGTGATATGTGTGGGCAATTGGCCAAGCTTCACCCGCAGCCTGTCCATCTGGTGGTCCCCGCGGCACCCTGCCCATGTTCAGCAGATCCACCTCGACGGCGTCGCTTTCGACGCCCGCCAACTCGTTGGTGAGCATAGGAAGGAAGCTCGCATCATCCAGCCTATCTTGGGTGATGAACAGTTCATGGTGACAGACGCCGGACAGGGTCTGGACGGAGCGTTCGATGACTGCATCATCGACGTTCCCGAGGACACCGCCAGCGCCACCGAAGGTGGATCACCGTCAGCTCCGCCGGATGTGCCAAAGGAGATCGGCATCGACTTCTCTCGCCACGTCCAACAGGTGGCGTTGGCAGCTTGGCGCGAAACCGAGGGGGCAGAGGATCTGGCCCAGCAGCTGGGGGAGCTAGAGAGCGCCGACAGCCAGCATGAGATCTCTGCTGCTATCGAGCGCGCCGCGGCATACCCAGGCCGCAGGCCACGCGAGTGGTCCCAGCGCCGCGAGACGCAGCGCCAGCGCCAGGGTATCCACGCGCAGTGCCACTACTACTTGCGCGGGGCCTCCTTGAACGACAGCGCCACGCTGGAGGCGGAGGACGACGCGGGTTGACGTGGAGTTGCATCTTGATCCGGGGGCGCGGGAAGCATTCTTGAGCTTCAACGAGGCTGTGTCCGTCGACTCCGTCGCCGGCGCTCGTCAGACAGCCGCGCTGTGCCGCCGCCGAGACCGCGGTCATCGAGCGCGACGCCGACCTTCTATCCAACGAGGAAGTGTCAAGGCTGTCGATGGCGCTTGCAGCAGCCATCCTCGAGGAGCTCACCATCTGGGTCAAGTGCAAGTTTTTCGAGAAGTGACCGCTCAAGGGCGCCCGACGCGTAGTGGACTCCAGACGCGCCTTCAAGTGGGCGCGCCGGGAGGGGTCAGACGGCGAGACTGTCGGGGCCATCCGGCGGGGCTTCCCCGACGTGGGCGCCGGAGCCCTGGATGCGTTCGCGGGGGCTGCTGAGATTGCGTCTCGGCGCCTACTATCCTCAGAGCCGGCGCGTCGCCCCGACCAGGCGCGCGTCGCCGTTGACGTCGGGGAGGCATTCCTGCGAGGCATGACCTATGCAGAGATGCAGGGGCAAGGATAAGCACCTCGAGGGGCGAACGTCACCCTGCCACCCAGCAGTTCAGCCACCCCCGGGCAGGGCCCCGGCTACGACGGCCTCCGCGAGCGGGCCGAGTGCCTGCGCTGCGTCGAGCCGGGCGCGGGCGGCAAGGATGCGCCCAGAGCCTTTTCCTTGAAGGTCGCCTGGGCCACGCCCTCACCTGAGTGAGCTTGAGGTCAAGCACGCGACGTCCGGCAGCTGCTGCCAGCGTTTCGGGGCTAGTGCTCGCGTTGTCCGAGCGCGTTGGCGATCTGAAGACTGCTGGGGAAGAAAGAGTACGCGAGCTGGCTGACTAGCCACATCGAAAGCGTCTTCGGCAGGACGAAGGGCGACTGCGACACCTTCGCCAACTTGCGGAGTGCACCAGCACCGCAGTGCCGATGGCACCGTGGCGCTCGACCAGGACGAGTACATCGACGCTCTGATGCCAGGCAGACGCGTCCTTGTCAAGGCCATGGCTGACGAACTGGCTGGAGGTCAGCTCCCGGATATGTCTGTCTCCCTCTTGGGAGCAGCGGCCTGCGCCCTGTTTGCCCAGCGCCGCGTCGCAGTGCGCGTTGTCGCATCGTCGCCCTGCAGAGAGCCGCGAACCAGCTGCTCATCCGACGCGCGATGCAGCTCGGCTCCGTTATTTTGGCCGCGCAGAAGATCAGGGCACGCGTGGCATCTCCATCAATTGAGTGCCCCGGGCAATCCAGCGCGCGCAGCGACGGGTCCTTCGAGAGGGAGCAAGTGTCAGGATGCGGCGTGAGAGGGGCTGTGCGCATGCGTCTCGGCAATTGCCGCCGCGCCGGCAGTGGGCCGATCGCGCAAGCTAGCGTGCAGATCCTCGTTCAGCCCCGAGCTGCTCGCAGCGTGCGGCGCAGCGGGCGGCCTGCAGGCGCGCCTCTTCGCGCTGCGCAGCGAGGTGCGCGGCCCCGCCTCTGCCGAGGAGATCAGGGGGCTGCGGGGGGAAGGGGGGCGCGCGGTCCCTGCAGACCTCGTCATAGACAGCATGTCAGTCTTCGGCGCCCTGTTTATGAACCTGGTCCGTCCGCCGTCCGAGAACAGCATTGCTGGCCATTTACGGTGGTGGGCTGGCCAGCTCTGCAGACTCTGCACTATGCAGATCGACGACTTGCGCTGGTTCGACACTCGGGGCACGCGGGCCGACCCCGTGACGAAGGGCAGCATGGGCCGAGGCTAATCCTCGGCGCGATGGGCGGCCGTGCCATCTACGACCGCGCCGCGGTCAAGTTCAGCGACGAGAAGCTGAAGACGGCCGTCCCGAGCTGACAGCATTGCTCACTCACGCTAAAGCAAGGAGACGACTCTCGTGACTGCGTCGCATGGCCACGCGGAGTCGGAAAGCGGATGTACGAGACCAGCGTGTGAGATTGACAAGTTGGGCAGTCAAGTGCGTGGGTTCGTGCGGACTGTGCCCGTGCAGCTCGCGGTTCTTTAACAGTTGCTCCTTCAATATCGTCGCATCGCTCGATTGTGGGGGTAAAATTAGCCTGTTCTGACTAGTCTCGTGACCTTTGTCAGGATTCAAATTCTCCTTGCCACTCGCGCTGCGCAAATTTCTTGCGGTTGGCGCCGTGGGGGGCCAATTGCCCTCGGGATGCAGCGAAGGTCGACAACTCCGAAACGTGTCGGAACCAGGTTACTGCGTCCTTTCGCAGCCAGGCATCTTGTTATGAAGGGGCGGCCAGTGGGTTTTCATTGTCCTACCGAATGCACGGCGGACGGGCTTGATCACCAGGTTCAAACGGTACCCCACCTCTCCCTTTTCTTTGATGCCTGTTCTAATGGTCTCCCTCTTCCGCTGCTGTTTTCGCTCGGGGGCGCGGTCGCCAAGCTTCCGTGCCCGCCTTAGACATGCCTTCTGGTATCTCACACATTCCGCCTTCAGAAAGACCTGATGCTTCACATCTTCCCATCTACATCCTCATGTCTAGTCTCCTCCCCCTCTTCCTCGTCGCCCTCATCGTCGTCTTCAGGGTCGGCGGCGCTGGCAAGAAGGTTTTCGCAATCATGTCGTCGGAGATGTGGGGTCTCGAGCCTCATTTAACGGGGGGCCATCGATGGGGAGGCAACGAGCGCCACAGAAACACGTTGGTTTTCGAAGCGCCAAACAGGCCATGCAGGGCCCCAGAAGGGGGCCTCGAGGGCCCTTTTTCCCCCGCCCCCCTCATTTCTCGCCCCCCCCCCCCCCGCACTATCCGCACCCTGCGTCGGAGGCGTGGGTTCTCGAGCCTCGCGTCGGAGATGTGGGGTCTCGAGCCTCGCCGCCGCCGCCGGCCGGGGCCGCCCCGAGGATCGAGCGGCCGCGCGAGGCGGCGGAAGGGCCGGCGGCGGCGCCCGCGCCGCAGGCGCCGAGGCAGTGCAAGGTGCGCGGTCAGGCGCCAGGAGGGGGCAAGACCACACAGGCACATATGATCGTCGTTCCCCAGCGCCGCGCACTGCCACGCACTGCCGCGGAGGCGAATAGCCTGGCGTGGGAAGTTTTTCCAGGTTGGCACATACAGTCTTCCGCTTGCTGCCGCCTGCTTTGACTCTGCGCAGCCTGTTGTTGCCCAGTGTTTCCTTTTCCGCGTCCAGGCACTGAGATATGCACATCCATGCATACAGCGTCCGTCCGAAGCTATGGGGCCCCAGCAAAATGTATGGGAAATGTGGAACATGCGGGGGAATGGGGGGGGAAGTGCGCGGGAAAATATGGGCACGTATTGGAAATATGGGGGAAATGTATGTGTGTGCATGTGTGCGAAAATATGGGAAGTGCGGGGGAAGCGTGGGGGAAAAAGAAAACGACGACGACGGCGACGACGACGACGACAGTCTGGCGTTTTCAATCTGGGCGTTTTGCCTCAATTTCGGCCCTCGTGCGCCGTTTTCGGGCTGTGGCGGCCACCAGAAATGGGCGGGCGGGGGGCGAAGATCAGGATGGGGCCCCCAAAAAACAAAACAGACACTAACAATCGTTGGTCCCCAGGAGCATACATGGGAAAATATGAGAAGCCTGGGGGGGAATTCGAAACTCTAGAATCTATGTGCCGAAAGATGGGGGAGCCTGGGATATGTGTGCATTTCTTTGTGTGCCCCTGGGCCCCTTGACAGGTTCTCGCCTTCGAGGATCGAAGGAGCTGCCATCTCTTCCTCGGCGGAAGGGCGGCGGAAGTAAAACTGGGCCGCCTCCGCCGGCGGAGGCTGGCGTCAGGCCACGGGAAGCCGGCGGAAGCAGAAGTCGACCACCCAAGAGATGACAACCTTCTTCGGGTCGGGTCTTCCGGAGTCCGCCAGGTGATCGGGCCCAGCGGCAGAAGCGAAGAGGCCTCGTTCGACGCAGATCGGTGGCGAGCGAGGGCGGGGCGCGAGAAGGAAGAGGCCTTCTCAGAATGCGGCGGGGCTCCCCAAAGAGCCCTCGCGCCTTCCGAGAAGGCTCCGAACATGCTTCAGCAGGCCAGGGGGCTGATGGGCGCATTTTCCACCACCACTACCATGTGTAGGACGGGGGAGGAGGGGAGGATGAGGAGGTCCTCCTCCTTCTCCTCCTCCTCCTCCTCCTCCTCCTCCTCCCCCTCCTTCTCCTTCTCCTCCTCCTCCTCCTCCTCCTCCTCCTCCTCCTCCTCCTCCTCCTCCTCCTCCCTCTCCTACCTATGGTAGTGGTGGTGGAAAACAGGCCAATCAGGGGCAGGCACCTCCGAGCCTCCGGAGCGTCTGAGAGGGCCTCCTCCTCGCCCCCCCCCCTCGCTCGCCGCCGAGCGGACGTCCTGTACGTGTGTGGCGGCTCCCTGGACGTGGCGCTGCTGCGCGTTCGCGCGGGCAGCCGCCCCCAGCTCGGGGCTGGACAGAGCCCCCAACAGTGACACGTCGATGAGTGAATCGTCCGTCTTCGGTTCTCGAGAGGGCGCCGTGGCCGTCATTTTCCAGGTTCGCGCCAGCCAGGTTTGGGCCCCAGGTCGTTTTCACGAAACCACGCTTTACGAAAGGGAGGTCTGCCCATCCCCGACCAGCGCTTCCAGCCGCTGCCCTGGGGCGCGGCCTCGGCGCCTGCGGAGGGCGACGAGGTCTGGGTCGTGGGCCACGGCGTGTTCGGCCCGGGCACGCCCTGGCGGGGGCCCTCGGTCACGCGCGGGCACGTGGCGAAGGTGCCGACGTCAGCGGGGGCCCTGAAGAAGGAACCCTGTTCGTTCGGGAGGGGCTCCGTGCTCCTTGGTTGTTTTACAGTGATCCTCGGGTTTTCCTTAGGTTTCCCATGGACAATCGAAGTCCAACTTATGGGAGAAAGGGGCCCCGTTCCTTATTTTGGGTTCCTTAGGTCAACGCCTCGACTGTACAGTGGGGGGGCGCGCCTCGAGAAGCCAGGGGGCTCTTCGCCAGGGGGCCCGGGGATTCGTCGCTCCGGCGCTGCGCGGGGAGTTCCCGCGGCCCTCGAACAGGCTGCTGCGTTCAGGGTGCTCAGGGTTCCCCCCCCCACCCCCAGGTGCGTCTCCTCTCGGGTTCTCAGGGCTGGCTTTCTTGCGAGGGTTTCTTACGGCCGCGCCCGCACTCTACAGGTAAGAGTGACCCTTCGCCGGGCCTTTGGTGCGGACTCATCGGGCCCCTCCCCCCATCGTTGAGCGCGATACGATAGCAGAGGCCCGCGCGCTTGGATTTGGCCCCCTCGTGCCCCTTCCAGAAGCCGCGCTTCGAAGGTCACTCTTACCCAAGGGTCACTCTAGAGTCGGAGGGCACCAACTACACACCAACACCGATCCTGGCCCAGGATCACCCTGGGCCCAGGATCGGTGTATATGCCTTCTTGCGCAAGGCAGGAGGGCGTATACACCGATCCTGGGCCCAGGGTGATCCTGGCCAGGATCGTGATTTTTTCAATACGGGGTCCCGGAAGCCTCGACCCATTCCCCAGGACCGGTTCTTCATCCTGAGTCGTTTTTTGACGCTCCCGAGGCCCGGCGAGGGCCCCCAGAGGCCGAAAATGGCGAAAAACCTCCCGTCATGATTTTTTCATTACTCGAGGGGGGTCTGGGTCACTCTTACCCAAGGGTCACTCTTGCGTCCATCCGAAGGTGTCTTACGGGGCGAAGACGCGCCGCCGAGCCCTGCTGCAGTGCACCGCCGCGGTGCACCGCGGCAACAGCGGCGGCGCCCTGGTCGCCGTGGGCGACGGGGCGTCGCTGGTGGGCCTGGTGACGACCAACGTCAAGCAGCACGACGGCCGCTCCATTCCCAGACCCCCTCGAGTCATGAAAAAATCATGACGGGAGGTTTTTCGCCATTTTCGGCCTCTGGGGGCCCTCACCGGGCCTCGGGAGCGTCAAAAAACGACTCAGGACGAAAAACTGGTCCCGGGGAATGGGTCGAGACCTCGGGGGGTCGACGTCATGAAAAAATCATGACGTCGGGGGTCTGGGTTAGGGGGCCACATGCGAGCCCTACCCCTACCCCCCACGATTTCTGAGGGGGGGGAGGGGGGGGGTTCCCTTCGCTCGGGAGCCCCCGAGCGAAGTGACCCCCCCCCCCCCTCAGACATCGTGGGGGGTAGGGGCAGGGCTCGCATGTGGCCCCCTATCCATGCCCCACGTGAACTTCAGCCTGCCCGTCGGGCTCCTGGCGCCGCTCCGCGCCTTCCTGGAGCACCCCGGCGGGCCGGGCGCGCTCGAGGCCCTGGCGGGCTCCTGGGAGGCCTGCGCCGCGGACGAGCAGGCCGAGGGGGCGCCAACCGCCCGCCGACGGCCGGGCCGCGGCCGGGGTCAGTCCTGGGCCTCCTCCTCCTCCTCCTCCTCCTCCTCCTCTCCTCCTCCTCCTCCTCCTCCTCCCCCTCCTCCTCCTCCTCCTCCTCCTCCTCCTCCTCCTCCTCCTCCTCCTCCTCCTCCTCCTCCGCGGCCGGGGTCAGTCCTGGGCCTCCTGGATGGGGTCCGAGCAGATGGGGTCGGAGGACCCAGACCCCCTCGAGTAGTGAAAAAATCATGAGGGGATGTTTTTCGCCATTTTCGGCCTCTGGGGGCCCTCACCGGGCCTCGGGAGCGTCAAAGAACGACTCAGGATGACAAACCGGTCCTGGGGAAGGGGTCGAGAGCTCTGGGGTCGACGCAATGAAATATTCATTACGTCGGGGGTCGGAGGATCGCGCTGCATCGCCGATGCATTGGCGATGCGGCTCGATGTGGAGCCCGTGTTTCCCCACACCAGCGTCGCCGATGCATCGGCGATGCATTGGCGACGCGGCGCGATCCTTCGACCCCATCTACTCGGACCCCATCCAGGAGGCTGGGCCCAGGGCTGGTGCACGTCTACGCCTGCCTGGCCAAGCCACAAGGGCGTATACTTAAGTCGGGCGTGTCCCCCTACAGGGGGATTTCTTCGACGAAAAATTTAAAGATACTCAAAAAATATTCCCAAATGGCAAAAACGTGCTCAACAAAATAGTCCCCAGACTATGTTTGGACTATTTTTGGATTATTTGTGGGGTATTTTTCAAATTTTGTCGTCCAAAATCCCCCTGTAGGGGGACAGGCCCGACTTGAGCGTATACCGAATACCCCCTCTGGCGATGCAGTTTGCTGCGACGTTGCCCCCCGGATGCCTCGGCCACTTTCCCACGGCACAATGCTCATCCCGCGTCTGTTTTTTGGCGGTCCCCGGGCCGGGAAGCGACCCCCAGCGGCCGGAAACGACGGAACGCCAGCCGCCGCGGTTCTTTGATGGCACAGCCTAGGTTTAAGTCGGGCCTGTCCTTCTACAGGGGGGATATTCAAAAATAGTCAAAAAATAGTATGGGAACTATTTTTGGGTATTTTTGGGCATCTTTTGAGCATTTTTTTTCCGTCCAAAATCCCCCTGTAGGGGGACAGGCCCAACCTAAACCTAGGTCTGCCGAGGGCTGAGGGTGCACCGATCCTGGGCCCAGGACGGCCTGGGCCGGTACAAGGTGCGCACGCAGCCGGCGCCCCCCCCCTCCACCCCGACCCCCAGGTTCGCGATTTTTTTCGGGACGTGGACCCCCGGGAGGTCGTCGCCGTCGTCGTCGTCGTCGCCGTCGTCGTCGTCGTCGTCGCCGTCGTCGTCGTCGTCGTCGTCGTCGCCGTCGTCGACCCATTCCGTGGGACCCTCGTTTCACTGCCCCAGGGCCCAGCGAGGGCCACCAGAGGGCGAAGACGTGCAGGAGAAAGCCCCGTTGTGATTTTCTCGCTTGGCATCGCTCGGACGTGTGCATTCTTTCTCGGCGAGAGCCATCGAGGACCATCCTGGACCATCGAGCACAACAAAAACACGCGCGAAACCGAAAAATGCACGAACCATCGAGGACCATCGAGGACCATCGAGGACGTGTGCATTCTTTCTCGGCGAGAGCCATCGAGGACCATCCTGGACCATCGAGCGCCCAAAAAACACGCGCACGGAACCGAATAAGTGCACCAACCACCGAGGACCACCGAGGACCATCGAGGACCATCGAGGACCACCGAGGACCATCGAGGACCCTCGAGGACCACCGAGGACCATCGAGGACAATCGAGGACCATCGAGGACCATCGAGGACCATCGAGGACCATCGAGGACCATCGAGGACCATCGAGGACGTGTGCCTTCCTTCGCGGCGAGAGCCAAAAAAGCACGCACGAGACCGAAAAACGCCCGGGAGAGTGGGCCTCCGAGCGGCGGCAGGCTCGCGGCCCGATGGGGTTCTGCGCCTGGCCCTGGCCCCGGGACCGAGCCTGGCCTGGACCGGGGCAGCTGCGCACGCGGGGGAGGAGGAGGGGGAGGAGGAGGAGGAGGGGGAGGAGGAGAGGAGGAGGAGGAGGAGGAGGAGGAGGAGGAGGAGGAGGAGGAGGAGGAGGAGGAGGAGGAGAGAGGAGGAGGAGGAGGAGGAGGAGGAGGAGGAGAGGAGAGGAGGAGGAGGAGGAGGAGGAGAGGAGGAGGAGTAGGAGGAGGAGGAGGAGGAGGAGGAGGAGGAGGAGGAGGAGGAGGTCTACTTAGCCAGGTAGGGCGAGTCAGAGGGCTCCGCCTCCTCCCACCCTCCCTCCCAGAACAGGATGGCAGATTGCTGCGCAACTTGATCTGGGGATCGGAACGCGCTCCCACCTTGCAGACGAAAGGCGCTCGCGCGCGGCCCTGCTTCCGACGACTCGGCGAAGGTAAGGCTACGCGGGCCGCGCAGGGGCAGGAGCGGCAAGACTCCCGATGGGCTTGGCGAACAAGAAATATGGGCCGCGCTGACGCAGCACTGCCACTTCCACTCACAAGCTGCGCAGCTCTTGGGCGAGGTCGGCATTTCGCCCGCTCTCGCGTGGCCCCGCCACCGCCGTCGCTTCCATGCTGTGCTGCGACCGCGCTGGAACGCCACTTCGGACCGACGTGCGCGCGGAGCTTGGGCGAGGGCGACAGCTCGCCCGCTCGCACGGCATCCCCCTACAATTGGCGAGCCAAACATATTCAGGAGGAAAGAAGCACACAGACACAATTCATCGTCGATTCCCCAGAAAATATGGGAAAGCATGGGAAGTGGGGGGAAGACGAACACCCAGAACATATGGGAAACGATGGTGAATCCTGTTATTCGTGCTGGGCTCCTTCAAACATGCGCCGCGTCGAGGCGGAAGCGCCTCTTTCAGGCGAGGATCTGTGAGGCGCCGATGGCGAGGGCGACGTTTCGCCGCGCGCGCGTCGACAGCGTCGCGCGCGGAAGACGAGCGCCCCTCGCCCAGGCGGTCGCCCAACTCTCAATCCTCGAGAAAACGAGCGCGGCGCCGAGACGAGAGCGACGCGTCCGCTCTCGCGCAGGCCGCGCGCCCAGCCCCACTCCCGCGGCGCAGCTGGCAACATGGACGACCGAGTGTCCATGTTGTATATGTATGTATGTATGTATGCATGCATGCATGCATGCATGCATGTATGCATGCATGCATGCATGCATGCACGCACGCACGCACGCACGCATGCATGTATATATGTATGTATGTATGTATGTATGTATGTATGTATGTATGTATGTATGTATGTATGTGTGTATGTATGTATGTATGTATGTATGTATGTATGTATGTATGTATGTATGTATGTAATGCATGTAATGCATGCATGCGTGCATGCATGCATGCATGTATGCATGTATGTCTGTCTGTCTGACTGTCTGTATGTATGTATGTATGTATGTATGTGTGTATGCGTGTATGTGTGTACGTGTGTATGTGTGTACCTATGTAATGTATGTATGTATGTACGTATGTATGCACACATACATGCATGTATGTATGTATGTATGTATGTAAGTAAGTACGTACGTACGTATGTATGTATGTATGTATGTATGTATGTATGTACGTATGTATGTATGTAGGTATATATGTATGTATGTGTGCATGTGTGCATGTGTGTATGTGTGTATGTTTGTACGTGTATATGTGTGTATTTGTGTAGGTGTGTAGGTATGTAGGCATGTATGTATGTATGTATGTATGTATGTATGTATGTATGTATGTATGTATGTACGTATGCATGTATGCATGCATGCATGTATGCATGTATGCATGTATGCATGTATGCATGTGTGTATATGTGTGTATGTATGTATGTATGTATGTATGTATGTATGTATGTATGCATGCATGCATGCATGCATGCATGCAGGGAGGTAGGTAGGTAGGTAGGTAGGTAGGTAGGTAGGTAGGTAGGTAGGTAGGTAGGTAGGTAGGTAGGTAGGTATGTATGTATGTATGTCTATATATATATATATATATATATATATATATATATATGTATGTATATACCCGTGCAAGAGGCCCAGGGGCCCGGAACCGCGACCTCGGGTGCGCATGGGGGTGTCGGGCGTTTTTTTCCCTGTGTTTTTACGGGGTTTCGGCGTCCCGGAGCCAACAGGGCCCCAAGAGGCTGCAGGGAGGCCCCAGGAGGCCGCAGCAATGGCTCCAGACGCTTTTCAAGACGACTCCCATGACGCCAAGAAGGCCCCCGAAGGCCCCGAAGACGCCCCAAGAAGCACACCGAGAGAGCCCAATAAGCAAAAATCGTCGATTTCCGATGGGGAAACTGATATTTTTGGCGTGTTTGCCTTTTGGGCGTCCACTGCATCCAAGACGGCCCAAGAGGCACCCAAGGCGGTCGAGGATGCCCCAAGAGGGCCCCAAGACGGCCCACGAGGGGGCCAAGACGGCCCACGAGGCGCCCAAACCGTTCAAGAACGTCCCAAGGCGGCGCCCAAGACGGGGACGAGGAACCGGAAATTCTGGCCTTTTGGCCCAAGAGACCCTAGGAGACCCCAAGACGCTCCAAGAAGGGGCCCAGAAGCCCCAAGAGGCCCCCCTGAGACCAGAAAAAACAGCAAAAGAGGCCCCCAAGACACCCCAAGAAGCACCCCGAGAGTGGCCCAATAAGCAAAAATCGTCGATTTCCTGTAGGGAAACTCATATTTTTGGCGTGTTTGCCTTTTGAGCGTCCACTGCATCCAAGACGGCCCAAGAGGCACCCAAGGCGGTCGAGGATGCATTCAAGAGGGCCCCAAGACGGCCCACGAGGGGGCCATGACGGCCCACGAGACTCCTAAACCGCCCAAGAACGCCCCCCAGGAGCCCAAGAGGCCTTTCCGGGGAGCCTCCACAGCGCCCCAGGAGGGCCCAAGACGCCTCCCAGGAGCACCCAGAATGCGAAAAGATGGTCCAAGACGTTCCCAAGCAGCCCAAGTCAGCCAT